TATGTCTTGACAGGGGTGGGAAGGATTTTGTTCTATCTTTTCATTATGCATATTTACTTTAAAACAGAAGCTTTCTCAGTTGGAAATGATGGTTCAGGCCAGGTAGAGAAATATATTCCATGTTGTCAAGAAATAGGCAGTACTCAATTAGGCTCTTAAAAGCTATGACCGGAAGCATGTTTGTACTGATCTTAGTTTTCCTCCTAACCTTGGAAAAGACACTATTTTTCACAGAGCTTTGCGCTTTAACTGAACTTCAAACTTTAGTTCCTTTTATGGCAACTTGTTCAAAAGAGTGTTATATCTCCCTGTAGAAATGAAAAAAGTTCTACTGCTGGGAAAATGTTACTTATTTTTTCCCAACTCTGAAAAAAATTACAAAACAAAATTTCAACCCATTTCAAACATTTCATAAGTTAGTTTCCATGTAAAAACAAAGTCATAATATAAACTGGCGAACAGCAGGTAATACCAGATTCCCATTCCAGTGACATGAAAAAAGCCCAAAACAAAATTGGAAATGTTCTAATCTCTCCTACTATCTTTTTGCACATTCACAGTAGTTCCAGCCTAAAAGCTTTAACTGCAATCCAAGACTGTTATCCATTTTAAAAGAGTATGACTTCAGTCAGACAGGATAGAAAAAATATCAATTTATTCCCTTCAGATGTTCTTAATTTCTCATATTAGTTCTCAGACTTTTTTTTTCACAACCAACTGGTTGAAACTTTTCCTGTCTTAGACTCTTCCACTCCTAGCTATAGCTGAAAAGCCCCACCCAACTTTTAACTTCTGTTATCCTGATAAGACTTCTATACAAACTACAGCTTTTTTACCTATCCTTACATGGACTGTCTTCCATTCTATTGTTGGTACAAAAGAAACAGAATGTACATGTTTGTTATAGTATTTTACTATTACAACGGCATCCATGTAAGCTGCTTGTGTAATTGGAGGTTCATTGAGGCTCTGCATAAGAGACGTGATCCTCCCAAACAGATACAACTACAAGATCAGTGCCTAAACAGGAACAAGACTTAACAGCATCAGAGGAGAGGGTGAAAGGAAAGACAAGATTAGCAGACTGGTACCTGAAAGAACATACACCAAACATGCATAATTTAGGAGACTTCAAACATGATGTTAATGTTTTTGCTGGATAAAGAAACAAGCTCTACAAATAGTCAAAGTATCAAAGGATTTGACAAGATTTAACCAGAGGGGAAGGAAAATAAGAGGGATTAGATGACTAAATTACAAGATTCATTGTCATCAGGGTGTCCATGCAATTACTAATTGAGAAGCTGAAAAAAGCAGGAGGAGGAAAGAAATTTGAATGACATGGTTTTCTCTGAATTAAAATTAAGGTGTGCATAAGATCCTGATCTCTGTGCAGTATATTGTAACTTGTAAATCACTTCATGCAATGATTTCCCCCTCTGGTTTTAACACAGTTTATATTAATAAGAGTACACATAAATGTTACTTTGTTGATTGGGAAATTGTTACCAGGTCATCCAAGAAAGAGAAAATAACTTTGATGTGAATATTACACTCTAAATGACACAGACTAAGGCATCCTTTTCTATAAGGTGTGATATGAATAGGGGCTGTAGTCACAATGGCATGCCTTCATAGAAAAGACACAACTTAATTACCTAATTATATGTGCATTTATCTTTTAATAAAAACCCTGTATCATTGTGACTTAAGAACAACAAACAGGAAGGTTTGTTGTTTATTTTCATTTTGGTTGCTTGCCTAGCTGAGGTTTTTGCCCACCTCTTTTCTCTTTGTTTTCTCACATTGTCTAGACTCTTTGGTTAAAATATTTGATGTAATCACTCAGATAGAGGACTAGGACTTAGGAAATTTGGGTTCTGTAGGGACAGCCATCTAGGTATGTCCTCCACTCTTCCAATTTCCCAATATGTAAAAAATAGGAATAATGATAGTTTATACCTTTGCAAATTACTTTTAGATATCCTGATGAAAAAACAGTAGAAAGGAGATATTACTACCCAATTTTCCACTGAGTTATACAAACATTTTTCTGTACTGAAATTAATCATTAATGGAAAAGATAATAAGGTTTAATATAAAGTATCCCAACCATTTTTTTAAAAAAATCAACAAGATATGGCCTGACCTTGCCCCCACTCAAATCAATAGCAGCCAACATCAACAGCTTTAAAAAGTTATTTGGAATTTTTTGTCACTGAAGATGAGGTTTTCCAGATGTTTCCTTTTGTCATGAGAAAGCAAAATTTCCAAATGTTACAAGAAGCCTGTTACATATGAAGTAGCTGGCAAAGTTAGGCTGATGTTGTGCCATGATGGCCCAACAAATTATGTGAGGCAAAGATTTCTGAGGATGATATCTTTTACCAGACCAACTGCACAGTTGGGATAGTTAGACAAGCTTCAAAAAGCAAGACCTTCTTTATCAGATCACGTAGGACACCCATCTCTATCCCAACTTTGCACCTGGTCCAGTAAGACAGAAGAATTTGCATACACTTGCATCAGCTGTAGCTATGAGAAGTAGTGAAGATGACACCAGAAAAACAGCAGGACTGAAAAGAGGGTACAGAGAGGAGCTAATTCCAGCATGAATTGAAAAAAACAAAACAAAACAGAGCAAGGTCTTTTGGGGCAAGATTTGGTTTGTTGTTTTTACACACACACCTTCTATCAACCTGTCTTGTGACCAATATGGTTCACTTGACAGTCCACACCTTTACAGTTACACCATTCTCATTCCTATTACAATAATTGTATCATGCAGCCATGTGCTGTGCTCCTACACGTCCATCACTACCACATTTACCCACTACAATCATGCAACTGACTGCCTCAGTGCCCTCCCTTCCCCCTCCCCCAGTTCTCAGCACACTTGGCAGATGCCATTACACCTCC